GTCTTGTCGTTGTCCCGTTGAACCCTTGGAGGTCAGAGCCCATGTAGGGGGATAGGTTGGATTCGTCGAGTTGGAGGGTCGTGAAAAGGTGGGTGTACAAGATGTTCACCGAGCTGCCTCCGTCGACCAGGATGCGTCTGACATCGAAGTTCTCCATCTGTGCCCGTATCAGCAGAGGATTGTTGGAGTTGGGAGAGCCCCGGGGAAGTTTCTCGAGGTAAAAGGTGATCGGGTTGGATCGGTCGCGAAATTTGTCGAGAGTGCTCATCTTGCCGAAGTTGCTTGTGATAAGCTCTTCGAACTTTCTCATTACCGATCCTACAGACAGGTTCCTCGGGGATCCGCCGGAGATGACCATGGCTCTTGGAAAGTATTCCCATCGACTGGTGGGGCGTACCGGCTCGTCGGGCAGATCAGGGCCGTCGGGGAGGCCGAATTCTCTATGAGCGAACCAATCCTCAGGGCGGCTGACGCAGAGGGCGACCTGGAGGCCGTTGTCACCGTCTGAAGAGGGAAGCTCTTCGACTCTCTTGGCCTCGAGAGCGTCTTGCCTCGGGGTTTCTCCTCCCTGGGTGTATCTCTTCAGGTGGCCGTCTTTAATCAGGATTTTGATCGCGTCCTTGAGGTGGATGCAGTCTTTTGTAACGTGCCCGTGGCTCCTGTGGAAACGGCAGTACTTTGATTTCTCCACGTTGGACTTGGGGGGTGCTGGTCTGGGGAAGCGGACACCTCCCTGGACGAATTCGGTCTTGGCGCATTCGGTCAGTATGCGCTCGCGGGAAACGACTAGAGTCGTATACTCCGTGAATCGGCCGGCGGGACCGCGCTGCTCACGTTGTTCGCGGGGCGATCCTCCCGTTGGTGATCACCTCCACGCCGGTGGCTTGAAGCTCCGTCCTCTCGATGCCCGGGGGGTCTCCCTGTCTCGCGTGTCTCGGGAGGAGTTGGCTGCTTGGGTTTCCTCGAACCGGATATAATGTGCGGCTCTGTCGAGGAAGTCCTGTAGAGAGGCTGGTCGGTGTATGCCCACGACTTCGTAGAACTTAGAGTCGCGGCGCAGGCCCTGCTCCATTAAGTAACGCTTCATTTCGTCTGACGTCGTTACCTGTACTGCCTCACGTGTGAATCTTTCGATGTACTTCCAGATGGGCTCGTCGGGAGCTTGGATTATGGCGCCGAGGGCGGCTTCCGTCTTCGGATGGCGTCGGGATGTTGTGAAGTGTTTCGAAAACAGGTCTTTCAGAACCTTCCATGACGTAACCGATTCGGGCTCCAGACTTTTGTACCACGTCATGGCACCTTTCCTCAGTGTCTTTGGGAATAGTCTGCATTTGATAGCTCCTCGGACATTTCGGTAGTCGAGCATGGCCTCGATGTCTTCCAAGTGGTCGTCTGGGTCGGAGGTGTCGTCGTATGTCGAGAGCGTCGGGGGCTTCTCCATCCCGTGGGGAATGGGGGCGGCCATGATTTCCCGGGATAGAGGAGTCTTGTAGTCGTCTTCCTCGCTGAGAGTGGGCGACTGAGGGGGAGATGGTCCATTTCATGGAGGCACCTGGTTTCGGCCCCTCGACCTCCTGACCAGGGGTTCGACGCGCGAAGGCCTGGTCGGGGGCTCTGCTCTATTTTGTCGTCTCTCACGAACTTGTCTCGTTGGGGATCTAGTCTGCTCCCGTACTACTTCGGGTTAGGGCCTCTCCAGCTGGGGTCGCCGATCCCTGGGACGAGGCGAAGGGCTCCTTGAGTTCCCGTTCTGGTCTTCCCGCGGAGGGGACCTTAGCAGGACCTCGCGTTCTAGTGCGCCAATCCGTGTGTTCTGTTGAAATAACAACTGGTTCGTCTGGTTGATGGCCGCGAAGAGGGCGGCCACAGTCAGGTCCGCTCCGGCTGGAACTGGGACAGGCTGGAACGCTGCTGGGCTCCGGGGTCAGTGGACAGCCTGCTGTGAAGCTTCCGCGGACAAAGGAGAGGCGGTTCGGCCGACTCTCTCGTCGGTCTCCAGTGGGCGGGACGTCTCCTTTTGCTTGCTGCCGTTTGCGGCAGGGGTGAGGATGAAGTCGTGAACGGCATCGTCGTGGTATGGGCTAGCCATGATCGTGAAGTGTTGGTGAAACTTTGGTTCGCTTGCTCGGAGGAACGGGGAAGTTTCAGATTCCCACAGACGACACCACTGATATGACCTGATCAGAAGGGGATCACTAGCTGGCCACACTCTGTTGGAGTGCTGCCTGTTCACCGGTGATGATGAGGAGGAGGGGTGTACCTGCAAGGCACTCTGATGCCAAAGTAAGTATATGGGCAGAGTGGTCACAAGCACAGAAAAAGGGGTAAGAAGTGAATTACCTGACCCTCTTGTGGAAGAGGGTATTTATAGAGAGACCCCAGCGCTGGGTCAACGGTCACTTGTGTTGGGTTGGATTGACAGGCCCAACCCAGGTGACTGCTAGGGCTTACGTGGCGTAGTGAAGACCAGGACGTGGTCTTCGCCCTAGTCCAACTGTCCCGTGATCTCCGGAAAGTGGATTTGACCTGCTCTTTCGGAGGTGGGCAGTTGATTGGTGATGTGTCCCCTCGGAGGGGAGCACGTGGAGATCGTGCGAATGACACGTTGATCTCCCCGCGGAGGGGAGCCCGTGAGGTTCTCCGAAGGTGTGTTGTTCTCCTCGCGGAGGGGAGCACACGAGGGCGTGGGGGAGACATGTTGTCCTGCTCGTTGGCATAGGGATTCTGCCCGACGGGGGACAGTGGTTGGAAGCGCCTCCCCACAAGGGGGAGAGCGCAGAGGCGTCTTGATGCACGCTGTTCTGCTCGACGGGAGCATGCCCTGCCCGTCGAGGGGTCACGTGCTCGGTCAGCCTACTTAAACCATATTGGGCCTTTATTGTGTATCATTGGGCTGGGCCGCGAGTTGAGGCCGGGGCCCAGGCTAGAACACCAAGTATGAGTGATCCTGTAAGTTAGTAACTTATTCCACTAAACTTGTTTGTTTTTTTATATATTTATTAGTTTGGTAAATTTATGTTGTTGAAAATAATGATATCACAGGAAAAAGGCCAAGAATGTTGCAATTCCAAAAGGACAGAGTGATAGAACTAGAACTCTAAAGACACATGACATTGTGGGACCTGAGAGAAATTCAAATGGTCCATTTTTCATTCCTGAAGAAGACACAATTGTTAGCAGTGTTAGGGGGAAGAAGACTTGAGATGATATCCAGAAGAGCATGACTCGGTGAAGACTTAGGAGTGAAATATATTGTTTTTTTTAAACTTATGTAATATGAAACTTTAGTACTTGTTTGATTAGCATTATGAATTATGTAATATGAAATTTCGGTACTCTTTTGATGTATTATTCTGTTTGGAACATCAACCTTATGTATTTTGTTTGGAACATCAATTATTGTCATCAATCTTATATATTTTGTATTATGTCTAAAATCTTGCCAATTACAGCCAGATTACAACCTTTTTATGTCAAATTTTACAAAATGTGTCAACTTAATCATAACAAACTACATTTTAAAACACATCAAGTTCAACAACTACATTGCAAATTCAGTACATTAGTCAAGTTCAACAACTACATTGCAACATTAATCAAGTTCATCAACTACGTTGCAAATTCATTACATTACAAACTCTTCATTGACATTGCAAATTTAAACAAAACACATCAAGTACAACAACTACATTTCAAAACAAAATACACATTAATCATAAAGGACATAACAAAGCACAACATCTTCAATTTTCCATGAAATTTCTCTGTTTTCAATTTGGTCTTCAAATTCTTGTTTTTCTTCCTTGATTCTTCATACAAGGACTTCATATACCCTATAGATGCCATAACTTCCAACTCTGAATTCGTAATAGTTCCATCTTCAACTTCAAATTTTTCTTCAAGATCTTCATCCCATATGAACATATTACACGTATCGGCAATCCTCCAATAAGAGAATCTCCAAAACAACCTTCCTTTATTTGGTCCATTCTTGCATTGATATGAGACCATATGAACATGACACCCACAAAACTTCCCAACTCGCGATTTTACCAAAGCATAACAAAGGAATAATATAGTTAAATGAAGATGAACACAGAAAGAAAGACACTAGAAGAAAATGATGAACAAGGAAGTATCATGTTGGAGAAAAAAGATAAACAAAGAGAAACCAGTAATTTAGGTCAAATAATTATACACGCAACTTTAAATTAGCTCATTGTACACGTTGTATTTCATGAAAATAAAAATAAAAAGTTAATTATTTAATTCATTTGTTTTGTTATGTAAACAGCCGTTAGTGATATTTGACGTTAGAGACCAATTGTTCAGACACGCAACTTTAAATTAGCTCATTGTACACGTTGTATTTCATGAAAATAAAAATAAAAAGTTAATTATTTAATTCATTTGTTTTGCTATGTAAACAGCTGTTAGTGATATTTGACGTTAAAGACCAATTGCTCAGACAAAAAATTTTACACAGGAATGACTTCTTAAAAGAAAATTTTTGAAAGACTAATAACAAAAATCTACAATATTTAGAGGGACCATAAACTTGATTAACCCATTAGTTTAATTTAATTTGAATAATGCTTTGTAAGAAAAACAACAAGATTTAACAATAGACACTAGATAGTTGATTTCAAAGAAGATTAAGACGCAGAAGTTGACGGATATCATTAATGTCAACATGAATCGAATTACAAAACATGAAAAACGCAGGAGTAACTATTATTACCTTATACAGTCAATTATAGGTATTATAGATATAAGAGATAATTACAATTTGACTACCTTAAGCCAATAAAAGCCTATTTATAGGCACTAACTAACTAGGAACTAACATCTTATTTCTCTAATAGTAGGCATCCGTTAAACTTTGGTACGATAATCGAGTTCATCCAAAACAGGATCATATAGGAAAAGTAAGAAGTTTGCATCTACCTAGACTGTTCACAGTATGTTGCAAAAATGAAGACTCTAATAGTTCTTCTCTTCTAATAACAGGAGTTCGAGTCTTCTTGAGCTGCATAGAACTCGGCCATTTCTTCTCGTGTCATGCCTTTTATCAAACCATATTCTTTATTCCATGCCAGCATCTGCAGACTATCAATTTTTAAGTAGCTTGCATATGTTTGAAGATCAAGCAGAGTTTTAGTGTCCACATCGATAAATTTAGCTTCCCAGTCCTTGAGATTATTCACACGCTTCTGTCTGATGTTGTGCTTCTTGCAGTATTCAACAACCTTTATCAACATCTTGCTACTCACTTCATGAACAGAAATGGTATCAACGTCACCAATAGGAATGGTATCGATAGTTTCCTTGAATCTTTTTGACATAAGTGCCAAACCAAAATCAACTTCAAACACAACCCCGTCAGAGCTTACCAAGTTGATTTTCTTCGATAAAACATCTGGACTGCGATTCATTTTCTCTTCCTGCAATTACTAGTAATATCTTAGTCTAGTTTTCTAAAATTGGATACATTACTTAATAATTGGAGCACAAAGTAATAAATTCATAAAATAGTCGTATATAAATCTATTACATACATTTTTTTTCATCCCAATAGAACAAATTTTGAGGGGAAGGATCCAAATATTTCTTTTGATTACACATTTGATGCAAGAAAGAAAATAGACATACCTTTTTAAAATGCATGTGACATAAATATTTTCAGGTATAACAAGTTCAGTACAAGAAGCTACCAAAGCTCATACTGATGATCCAAATGGAGGATTTGAAAGTTGAAGTTCTTTACAACCATCTATAAAATGACGAAGATCATGGCTGTCTTTACAATTTTCAAAACTTACAAATTAAACTTTCAAAAAGACCATTCAAAGTTAGAACTTGAAAAAATTTAACATATTAGCAAGTTTAAGTATTAAATTATATAGTGGTTTGTTTCCTTCTCAAGATTTAAAACTTCAAAACATGAAGATAACTATTTGACTGTAAACTTTTACGATTGGTTTTAGAAAATATCTTTCTGTTTTTCTATCTTATTAAAAATTTAAAATACAAAAAACATGATTGGTACGCGAAACCAACATTACACTAGAGTAATATATAATGGTTATGAAAGCGTAAAAAACTTTTAGAATTTGACCTGAATATAATTTTCCTAAACACAGGCAAGGCCAACTAAAACATGTTTCAAAATAAACTCGTGCTAGATAATGCATTTTAAAATTATCTTCAATTAAGAAGTAAATTTCACTTAAATCACCTTTTCCTTGATTTTTCTTGTACATTCCTTCAACTCTAAGTATAAATCCAATGTGTTAAGAGCAAATGTTTGATCAATACGCTCTCCTGCCCGTTCCCGATCAACCTGATACCAAGAAACAGAGACAAAAAACTATTACAGGAAAAATTCAAAAGCATGTAATAAAGATTAAAAGAAATGAATAATTTGTATCCATAGGGGGTAGGGTATAGACCATTGGCCCAAGTGCCTTTTGGCTTATGTTTTCTCTAATGTGTATGTTGCACCCCAAAATTTGACCAACTGGGTCTCGTATCTGGCTCGATGTTTCGACGCATAATCGCATTCGCATCTGCATATTGCATACAGTGCATTTTTTCATTTGTTTTGATTTTATTGGGATCACAGCTCTCGTCTCGCGTGTCAGGTGTTTTTTATCAGTTTAGATAGATAGAATCGATTTTTGGGATATTTCGGTGCCCGTTTATTTTTTACCGGCTATTTTGGTGCGTTCTCGCGGTGTTAGGTGTCGTTCGGTGCTATTTTTGTTCCTCTGAGAATTACTGTGATTTTTTCTGGACTTTATTGACCATTTTTTTAGATTTTTAATAGATTTTTAATCATTTTAGGATTTAATAGATTTTTTAGAATATTAGTAGGATTTTTTTTAATAGTTTTAATTCTTTTTAAATAGATTTTTAATCATTTTAGGATAATATAGAATTTTATAGATTTTTAATAGCTTTTAAATCATTTTTAGGATTTAATAGGTTTTTTAATAGTTTTAAATAGTTTTAATAGTTTTAATCTTTTTAATATAGATTTTTTCTTATTAAATAAATAGTTTTTGTTAATAGAAATTAAATGTTTTTAATTTTAGATATAGAATAATAATAGTTTTTTTTCTTTTATTAGTAAATAGAGTTAAATAGATTTTATAGGTTTTTGTTATTAATAATAGATTTTAATCATTTTTAGATAATATAGAGTAATATAGATTTTTCATTTAAATAAGATTTTTTCTTTAGTAGATATTAATAGAGTTGTTCTCATTTTTAGAATTTAATTGATTTTTAGATTAATTAGGTCTTAGTTAATTAGGATTAATTACTTTAGTTTTAATCAAATAGTAATCTTTTTTTGTATTAATCAGATTGTTTTTTGGGTGTTTTTGTTTCATTTTCGTTGGGCTTCAGTACCCAATTCGCAGCCCAATTCAAAGTTTTGTCCAGAAAAGTTCAGAATAAGTCCAGCATTCTCCAGCATCTTCTGGAAGCTTCCAGAAATAAAAGCACTATAAAAGTTCAGAAGCCACGTGTTGCACAGAGGCTAGCCCCACGTTATTCCACCAGCTCACGCCACCTCAAACTCGTTTCATCTCACTGCCACGCGCCACACACGTGGAGGCCATGCAGGGCACCCCTCCACTACCTTCCCCACGTGTCATCACCACGCCACCTCGCCTGAAAGCGTCACCGGCCGGCATGCATGGCCGGCGACCGCCGTGAGCCTCACCGGAGAACCTCACCAACACCTCACCAAACCCAGAAAAAACCCAGAAACTACCAGATTCAACCTTCAACATTCATCTTCCTCCTCCAATCTCCGATCAACACTCAACCAGATTTCCTCCAACGTTCTTCCATCTCCTTCAACCTTCATCCCATTCCCAGAAGAACACCTCCGACCAAACCCTCATCTCCTCTCATCTTCATCATCTGAAGCCTCACCAGAAACCACCGTGTATCAATTCTCAACCACGATTAACTCAAGAACACAACTGTTCATCAGCAAACGTTCCAGATCCTCATCAGTATCGTCTCAGAAATTCATCAGTGTTCAAACTCCATGGATCTTCATCTCCTTCGCAAGGATCCTCATCACTTTCTTCGTACGATTTCCAGAAAGTCCTTCAAAGAAATCCATGAACAGAGCCTTGTCAAGTATAGTTTTCTGGACCCGATGTTAATCATCGATCTTCAAGATCTGCGAAGATCCTCGAAGATCTTCATCTGTAGCGTCTTTTCCAAAAAGTCCTCCAAGAACAGATAACAAGAAAACTTCAAAAGCTCATCGACGAAGACGGCTTCAAGAACGTCCAGAACGTAAATCTCTGTCAATCTTCGTGAGTTTTCTTCAAACATCATCACCGCTTGAATTTCGTCAAGGATGGGGATTATAAGTTCTTCAAGAATTTCCTCTGATAGTGTTACATCGTGAATCAGCTTGCGTCAATAGTGTGGTCAGGGTTACTCCATTGTTGATTACTGGAATCTGAACATTTTTTTGGTTGAAATGAGAACGGTGAAGACTGTTGGAACGGAAAGTTGAGGTGATGAAGAACAATGTCTGAGATGGTGAGAGAAAGAAGGCTGAACAGAGGGAGAGTGAACAGTGTAGAGGACGGCGCTGAGAGAAGGGGGAAGAAGAAGCTCCCCTAGGGTTTCAGAATGGGGGAATGAGAGGGAGGTGATCCGCGTGAGGATTGGGCTAGGCCCAACTGCGTGTTTTTGATCCAACACCTTCGGTTTTTTGCAAACACCCCTCTGTGTGTTTTTTTTAGGGGAACCTGGGCTGGGCCCAATTCATTTGTTTTTTATTTATTTTCTGTTACTCCCCTGTAATCCAGTGTAAACCCCCCCCCCCCCCCCCCGTTTTTCTTTTCTTTATGTTTTCATTTTGTTTTTTTTTGGAAAGAAAAATGTAAAGAAAATATTATTGTGAGAAAAAGGAAAATATTTTAGAAAAAAGCATATTGAAAAAAAGGAAAGAAGAAGAAAGAGGAGAAAAAAATAGTAAAAGAAAAAGAGAAAAAAGGGTATTTGGAAAAAATAGAAAAACATAGAAAAATATGAAAAAATATTTTGAAAGAAAAAAGAAGAAAATAGTTGAAAAATAGCAAAAAATATTAGATGTAATATTTTTTTAGGATTTATTTTCTTTTTAGAAATAGTTTAGAAGCCCACTTGTTAGGGGGCTATTTTTCATTCGATTTTTTAGGATAGGATAGGATAGTATTTCCTAGGAGATTTATTTTTCAGTATTCAATCGTTGTAATCATTTTCAGAATATCAATAAAACGAGATTTGAGCTGTGGTCTCGTAGTAGCTGAACTACAGCTGCTCTGATTTCTCGTACCAGACGAGAATATGTAGGCATAGGATGCGATATCCTAGCGAGCACACTAACGACTAATTTCTATTTTCTCTCGCTGCTGTGCGATCGAGAACTTCCTGCTAACGACTAATGTTTGTTACCCTTTTTCTCTCTTGCCCGAGCGCATTTGAGATCAAAGCCATAGTTTTGCCCATAGGTTCCCGACCCTGTGAAACCAGTTGTTTTTCTCACTGCTGTGTGAGAATGTTTGTTTAGCCGTAGTTAGTCTGAACTACGTAAAGCTCTGATCTTCCATGCAGTGTGGAAGTACGTAGGCACAAGACGCGAGGTCTTGGCGAGCCAATTTTCCCTGTAGTCCCGAACTACGTTGACTCTGACTTTCTCTCTTGAGAATACGTAGGCATAGAGTGCGACGCTCTATCGAGTCAATTCCCTTCCGTTTAGATTTAGCAGCCGTAGATAGATTGTTTTGCATCCTTTAGACAACCCAAGCAAGCGTGGATCCCGTCGAGTACGACGGACGTGAGGGGTGCCAATACCTTCCCCTTGCGTAACCGACTCCCGAACCCAGGTTTTGGTTGCGATGACCATACCTTTCCCCGTTTTTTGCGAGGTTTACTTCGAGCGTTTCCTTTCCCGTTCTGAGGGATAAATAACGCACGGTGGCGACTCTTCTGTCAGCCGGCGCCGATTTTCGCAGTAGCGACAGCTGGCGACTCTGCTGGGGACTTGATAGTTTCCTAGGGATCCAACGTCCCGAAAGCGAGTCAATTTTGGGATCCAACGTCCCTTAAGAGAGTCAATCCTAGCGCTTGTTTGCTTGTCTATTTGGTGCTTATTTATCGATATTATCTGTTGCTGTTGGGGTGTTACGGGTGTTCTATGATTGAGAGAAGTCGGACCTGGGCTTGAGTATGCACCTAGATATAGTTGCGGAGAAGTAGTAGACGAACCTGTCTGCTGAGCAGGCACAGTTCCCTACGAAAATCTGCGCTCAGACGAGGTTCTCGCAGAGGTGCTCCTTTCCGGTCCTGAGGATCTGAGGGGAGTCCAGACGTGAGGATTGTCGACTCTGGGAACCGATCATTTGGAAGTTAGCTAAGTGAGGCCTCTTCATGAGATGACGATGCCACTCCTTCTGGGAATCGTATCATTCCTCATGAAAGTCTGTGACGCTGACGACCGCATAGGATGCCGTACCGTATCAGATATAGGTCCACACCTGTGAGTGGGGGTTTTTTTTTGTGCAGAAAACTTGACTTCCAACCTACCCGTTATTCTGGTCTTCTCTTCAGAGCAACCGTACTCTGTCAGCAGTGCAGCAGTATTTAGACCGTGTGGGGCTGTGATCCCGTGTTTGTTGCATTGCATTGCATTTGCATAGGCATCTTCGCATCATATTGCATACCATTCGCCAGCTAGTCAGAGCTCTTATCCAGCCGTTATTTTGATTCTGAAGGTGAGTGTTGAAGACGACCAAGAGGTTGAAGCAGGTCTAAAGCAGATTTGATCAGAGTCAAGCAGTGAAGTCAGTTGACAGTTGTTGGTAGCTATGTCAGAGAGCAGCTTCCAGTTTGTTGATACCTTGTCAGGTTTCACCGTGACGTCCAATCCTCTGTATGGATCTCCGCACGACGAAGACTTTCCGCAAGTGAACAACCTTACTGCAGCTCAGCTTGTGCAGCCATCTGTTGAAGACCAAGGTCTGCGTGAGCAGTTTGTTGTCCGAGGTGAACGTTCTCCTTCTGTTGATGTCTCAGACTACCAGGGTTTTGCCTTCCCTGTGCCAAAGCCCCGAAGAGAGGTCCTGACAGCAAAGAATGAAGACCCATTAGCTCCCGTGTATGCTGAAAGGTTTCGCGCATTAGAGGAGAGATTCAAAGCCTTGAAAGATAAAGACGCTGTTACTCCTAGTGCTGCAGATATGTGTCTGGTTCCTGGCTTAGTGTTACCTCCGAAGTTCAGAATGCCGAGGTTTGAAAGGTACAAAGGAGATAGCTGCCCGAAGC